TATATATATATATATATATATAAGTCTATAGCACTTTTAGGTGCTTTTTAAAGATATTGATAATTTTGAGTATACTGTTTTTCTTGCAAAAGATTTTTGGTGCATCGTTAGATGAGAATCTAGATATTATTATACCCTCATCACTCGTAGTACAACGATAAATTAAGTTTGTGAGGATGTATGCAACACCCAGAGGGACTTGAAGTATATCCGCCTTTTATTTTATACCGATGTAAGCTTGTCTGATTGTCTGTCGGTCTGACTTTTTGTGTTTAACAATTTGACGTAACGACGTCTGTAGATGCCCATTACGTGTGCTTGTAGAAGCATGTGACGTCTGTAATAATTCTTTGTAGTATATTGGAAAAAAAGTGTGGTTTGGCCCAAGGAAGAACTCTATTGAAAATAGTTCGGATAGGACCACTTTTTCGACCACATTCCATAAAGGCTTTATTTTGAAAAGTCATTATATTTATATTAAACAGAAGTAGAATATTAATTGGAAAATTCAGAATGATAGGAGAGTTTTAATAACTAATCGGAGGAAAGCTCGCTAAATTCATTAGTTTGAAATAAATCCGTGCACCAGACGCCTTTGCTATGTTATATGCACAAGTAACTACAACTGCGCGCATTATAAATAGAAAAGAATGACTGAAGGGATCTCTAATTTTAGCTCAGTAAAACTAGTTCGGTAATATTCTCATCAGTGAAACCTTACTCCCGAACAGGTTTAAATTACTTTAATAATTTACTCCTGATCAACCTATGCTTAGGAACATATCTTCAAGTGGGTTCCTTTACCGTTTAGTTCGGTTGGTTCAATCTAGCATAATAAAGTGGACGAATAGTTCCAACCAGGAAAACCTTTGCAGAAAAACCGAATAAACTGAACTGAAATCCTCAACATATGACACTCATTCGTTTATTCAGCCATTTTGTCAAAATATTTGCAACACATGGAACGAAATTTCACTCCATAAAATATACATTCGTCTTCGGCTTCAAATTCCAAATCCGACTTCAGCTTGAGTCTGTTTCTGCATTTTTGTGTGATAAACATGCTCCCGTGCGCAAAAGTGAAGAAATTGCCTTCAAATTTCACAAAAAGATTGGCCCTTTTCGCACGCAGATTGGTGCTGAAAATGATCCTAATCGATCGAAGCTCATGGTTGCAGGCAAAAATAAATTGAGAACACTTCTGCTTTCCGAGTCCTTTGCTCATAACCCACAATGTGTACGCCTAGATCGACTAGAACTAGTTGATTGCGGCCCAGTCATTATTGCAGATTATGAAAAGTTAGTTTTCTCGTTTTTTTCTAACCTTTTTCAGGATAAAGCGGCGGATGTATGAAAGCTTCGCTTACATATAAGTTTTCTTTGATGTTCACTTTTAAGTTCACAAAGAACACTCAACAAGTTTAGAAGAGTTTCTGAAAGTTTAAAATTTTTGGATATTGGGCTTTAAAAGAAAAGGTAAGCTTTGGACTTAATCATTCTTTAACATTCCGTGAGCCTCATATATGCGCTATTATTATTGTAAGCATCTCAATCATTTAAATCGAAGACAAACAAAAACCAATACTCGACTTTGCCGAAACTTTTTTATGCGCGCCAAACTTTACCTTAAAGAAAGATTGAAAGAAAGGACAGAAAAAACTTTCATGCTCCACTATACCGGATGCGCGAGGCTGATTGGACAATTTATTAGCAAAAGTCACAAAAAGCAGAGATGTTCTTGGTTTATGTTTTACTGTAGGCATATCCCTCAAGGTGGATATGCTTACGTGCATTCCGAAGTTGACAATTTGATCAAGAATGTATACACGTTATGACATTATTGAAACTCACTTCTGGTCGTTATACGTATTTCGACAAAAAATAAGTTTTTAAAAAAGTGCAATATTGAATGGTCTTTTTCATTTTCCTGTAGGGTCACCAATAGAAGCTATACTCAAATGTTTATAGTTTTGTTGCTTGTGCTAACAAAAAAAAAAATAATTTCTTCCCTTCTAAAAGCAGAATGTTCTCTATTAACGTGGCATTATAGGTGTGTCCTTCCACCATGTTGGCCATTTCCAATACTTACATGCGAGAACTTCCAATATTTCTGCCAATCTTCAAGCCGGAAGCTTCGTTTTTGGGACGAGGGGAGCGTTTAACATAGACATTACACTGACAGACAAACAGACAGTCAAAGGGACATACTTAAATCGCTTCAGACCTTAATGCTGATCAAAAAATATATACATACTTTATAAGATCTCTGCAGTCTCCTAAAAGCAGAATCTTCTAAAAGTTTAGTTTTGAGAAAAAGAAGGCCATAAGTTGCTAAGTTAGCATTGTAGAAGCAAGAGTAAAATCATAAGAATCGAACTTACTTTCCGCAATAAAAATAAGCCTTTTTGACTTGTTGCTTCTTTGGTAGTTTTTGAAAATAAAAAGCACTTACCGGCATTTCTTCCATAGTATTCGAGGATATCCAGATCTGCATACCAAGTGCACATGCATGCGTACACGTACAGCGATATTGATTTTTTATTTTATTCATATTCAACACCCGGCAAAGACCAAGACCCAGTAGTGAAGACAGTTTTTTTTTAATTCAATTTTTTTTTAAACGAGGTAAAAGGGAGGCGCGCAGATAGAAATGAAAAGAAAAGAAAAATAATATATGTTTTAGATATTATTTTCTAAACAAATTTTTTTGAATTTTTTTGGTGTACCTTCTTTTTTTTTTTAAACAACGCAATGAATAAAGCGTTTTATTTAAATGTATAGAAAAAAAAAGGAGAAAACATTTCATTTATATTTCTTTGGATTTTTCTTTCTTTCATTTAAACTGCTTAAAAGTAAAAACAATTAAAACAAATCTAAGGCCGTTTGGAATGGCAATTTTTTCTTACCAAGAATCGATTTTGGAATAAAAAAAAATTCCATAATTGGGAAATGAAAAAAATGTGCATTTGGTATCTTGTTTAAAAACAAAAAATAAAGCAGAAATAAGGGAATAAAAAAATGTAAATAAGTAAAGAAAAATTAATTAACTGAGAAAAATGAATGTATATAAAGGCTTTAAACTGTTTTGGTGCCCATTTTTATAACAGAGATGATAACAAATCTTCAATATTTAATATTGTAATATTTTTATATTTTAACTACACAAAAAAAAAAAAAAACAATTAAATAGGCAGAGACGAGCAGTGAATACATTTAGTAAGAAAAAGCGAGATAGAGAACTAATTGCCATTACCAAACTTTAGATTTAATTATATACTAACTTTCTTCTTTTACTTTTTGAAATTTTTTCTTTTAATGTTATTAACTTAAACAAAGAAAAAAAATTTAAAACAAAAATGACACCAAAACAGATTGCAAAAATTTGTTTAAAAAAAAAAAAGTTAATTAGAGAGAAAATAATATTTCATTCTAAACATATAAAATTTTTCTTTCTTTTCTGTAATAATACGTTCAAAATTATTTAAAGGGCCAAAGATTATTGAAATTGTCTTCACTTTTTTTTAAAAGTTATTTTTCAACGGGCAACAGGCATACGCACAATTACAACGCACATAGGCAAAGACAAGAAAGATGGAGAAAAATTCATTTATATATAAATAAAATTTTTTCAAATAAAACACAACTCAAAACTTCTAAGGGATCATCGTTATTCTTATTGTTTTTTTCTTCTTTTCTTAAAAGCTTTAATTTAATATTTTAATTTATTTCCTATAATTATAGGTTCTTTTTTTCAGCTCCCCTACTTTTACATTCTATATAGCTACACATACACATAAGTTATAAAGTTTATAATTTATTATTTATAGTAATAATAGTCATAAATGTAATAGTAATAATAATAATAATAATCATAATAATAATAGTGGTAGCAGTAGTAATTGGGCTGAAATGATTTTTAAATAGATACTAATATAGTTCACTATTAACAGATACCTTATGTATAAAAAATTTCTTGATAACCTCTACATTATATTTATATTTCATAAAAAAAAAAAACTTCTCACAATAATATCTTACATTTCACCGCAAAACAAGACAACACAAAAAAAAGTTTGCTGGAAAAAATGAGAAAGCGGGAATTTGTTTACTTGCGGATCCTAAATCTAATCACGGCTTACAATATCTCTCGTAATTCTTTCTTCTAGTTATATAAATGGTTATATGTATATATATATATATATATATATATATATAAAAGAGGTCTTAAATATTTTTTTTTTGTAGTAGATATTCAAATTATATTCCCAATGATTTGGTTAATGTAGGCAATATGAAATAGACTCTCCCCTTATGCCTAACTGATTGACTCAAATTCAATGTCAAAATTTTAAACTGTACCAAAGCATCATTTCTTAGTTCACAAAAATTTTATTTCTTCCAAATGTAATTTCAAGTTGTTGCCTTATTAGTTAGACGCATCAAGTAACCCATTCGCTACCAAAGTTTCCTGGAAAGAACGTCCACCAGATGCCAATATTTTTGAAGCCGATAAAAAAATGTCATAGACATGTGACGTCGGGCTGTGGGGTAAGAAAACACTTTGTCACATATGTGTGACCTCGGAGTTGGGTAGAAAACCATTTTGCCACATATATGTGACATCGAGCTACTATGAGAAACTGCTTTGTCACATATATGTGACGTGGGCCTTTGGTAAAGAACTGTTTACCTACATATAGGTGACATCGGGCTGTGGTAAGAAATCGCTACGTCACCTACGGTTGGTATCGAAAAGGCTAACATGCATTTTTTCTTTAAGCAAATTTTTCGTTCCGTCAAAAGAACACAGTAGTCTCCCTAGAGCGACAGTCAGAATCAAAATTAATTACAATTAACTTCAAAATACAAAAGGCGAACATATTGCTTTTTCTGATGTAATACAAAATGCTAAAATAGTTTTTATAAAGAGGATGCAGTCATCTTGAATGGTCGATTAAGTGATCTTATGAGACCACAATAAAGATTGATTCTATTTCTGTCAATCAAAAAATTTTCAATCAGGTTTTAACAAAAGTCTTGTAAAGATTTAATGGCTGTTTGTAAGCACTGGCTTAATCAGACTTTTTATTTGCCTTTCGTCAAAAAAATATCGGACATTTTGATTCCGAAAATTCATAAAATCATCAAAAACGCTATAAATCTAGGATTGCTCGAGAAGTGAATATAAAGGAATTTTTTGCATGAGGTAAGGATGAATTGTCTGAGTGATATACAGTAAAAGTTCCTTATTCGCGGGGGATACGTTCCATAAAAATGCCGCGAATACAGAAACCGTGAATACGGAATGGTAATTTATATGGGATTATAGGGTATACGTTCCTAGGGAAAAAAAAAAAACAGTGGATACGGAATTGTAATTTATATGGGATTATAGGGGATACGTTCCTAGATGACAAAATAAAAAAAAATCAATTTAATTGAATGTGAATGTGAATGTGCATTTAGTTTGTCCCTCTTTAGGCAATTTGTTATTTGAGGAAATTACTTATCTGAAATGACCTAATTTTGGGATATTCGCAACAATACTTTATTCATTGAGTAATAAGGTTCCTTTCATTCTGTTTGTTTACATTCTCAATAAAGGAAGCGCGAATAAAGAACTTTTACTGTATATACATATTGTTTTGAATTCTTCCTTAGAATTCATTTTATATTTTTTTTAATTTCTTTCTTTCTTTTTTAAACACTATTAACATATACATCTCGTACGCTATATTGTTGCGATTGTTATGCTATTATTCGCAAGATTCCCGTCCGTCGCAGATAAATTAACAAATCAGTAAAACCTTATTCTGGCTTTTCTATGAAAATTGCCATTACTTGCCAATTTTTTTTACAAGAAATGTCAACCGAGAGCACGTGTTTTCGTCCGAACCACAATAACAACAAAAAGAAAAGGTTAAGTTTTGGTAACGTTAACCTTAAATATTCCAAACAGTTGAGTATTAAAAATTATGTCGCAGTTTTGTCTGCGCTTTCTTATATCTGTTTAAGTTCGCGGCTTTGAAATTCTCTTCTTGATTTTCATTTTTGAATAAAAGTAAAAGAAAAAAAAAATCGTCCTAAATTATCCCCCAGGAGGTTGCTAAACAGAATTGAACTATTATTCGAACTTAAAAACACTTCAAATCATATCAAAGTAGAAGATATGCACAATACTCTGATACTTTGTACTACCGCTAGCAATTGCTTGCATACAAGAGGAAGATGAACCAACGGAACTAGCGAAAAGTTACATTCAAAGAAAACTTGAGAAATGTCAGAAATTAAATATTAAATGAAGTTGACACAAAATTAAGTTTTTTGTCTATTTGTCTGGAAAATCGATGAAAATATAAGAACAAAGGCGAAATTAACCGTCTCCCATAAACTATAGTCCAAGTAAAATCTCTTTGTTGTTTTTCACATATATACCCCTTAAGCTCTTATTAATAGCGGCAGTTTAAAACTTTTACGAGATAAAATAAATCACTAACCAACTTAGGAAAAAAACTATTAAAAAGTAACCGACAAACACTTCAAATATGTGGCACGGGAGATTAGAAAATTCATAATGCAACAACAACAATAACTTATTAAAATAACGTCAATACTGTTGCAAAATTTTGATCAAGAATAATAACGATGTAAACTCAATCGGAAAATTCTCTCATCGACTTAACTTCGTATTTATCATGAATTGTTTTTGGGACCATTTGTAGTGCTAATGTCATTATATTCTCCGATAACTCCCGCATCGGAACGCGGTGTCCTTATTAACCAACGTTGCAAACTCTGTGTGCCCGCAATTGTGTTATCATTTTTGGCAGTCCTTTTTACCGAGCTACTTCTAAGCGGGGTTGAGATGCAAGTCAATGGATCTTTATTCGCATTGTCGCTATTTTCTTCCACATAATTGCTACCAGTACTCTCTTTGCGAGCTTGTTTTGCTGTGCCCGAACGCAAAGAGGCCAATATTGGGCTTTCATCTAAAGTCCAAAGATTAATTTTCACTGAACCTCGTGATCTTGTACGAGGTGTATGATTATCTATATCACCACCATCAGTACTCTGAAGATTGGATCGTGTATTGGTAGAATTTGTTTTGCCATTTGGAGCGGGTGTTCTTCTTGATGCAGAATTCATGTTGACAAGAGTTTGATTTTCATCGCTTTCCGATTCTTCCGAGACATTATAATATGTGGAATTAGTGGTGGTGTCGAGCATTTGTGTATGCGCATTCCATATATCCATGCTACTTGAATTACCAGTTTCCTGGTCAATAAGGTTTAAACAGCTGGATTTATCATTTTCATCGTCCGATAACTGAGCGCTTGCTCCTCCACCGTTATCGTCTGAACATTCCGCGGTTGAATCTATTCTGCTTATGCTATTCTGTATTGTCTTACCACCACCACCTCGCCCTCTAACAGATGGCATTTTAGCCTTTACATGCGTTTTTGTTCTTACCAGCTTTTGCCGCTCATCCTCTTCGTCGGTGCTATTAGTATTAACGTCTTCTTCGCTTCTAATTTTGTTTTCTTCATCGACTTGCTGGCTAAGCATATCACTATTGCAGTCTACGCTTCTGCTATCTTCTACCACATTTCGTCTCCCTTCGTCACTGTTGTCTTTGCTATCGTCTTCGCTTTCAATTTCTATTTCGGGTTGTTTCAATTTTCTCGGGCTCTTTCTTATGCCTACAGCTCTTCGTTTCGCTTTGCGACCTATTTGTGTTACATTGGCCTTGCGTTTTAAGGTCATTCTTGTTTCACTAACCGTTTCTTTTTGGTAAAGTTTTTGTTTCTCTTTTCGCTTCTGCTCTAAACGTTTAGTTGCAAAACTTAAAAGCTTTTGATTTTTAACACCTGTCGAACTTTTGTTTGATTTATTTACAATATTCTCGGCTTTTTCTAAGGCATTAGGAACCAGTTTGCGTTTACTTGAGACATTTTTCTTCGCATTTTGCTTTACGTCAATTTCTGCAGGCATAGTTGCTATTGCTGCTGCTGCCATCGATGTGCGTGTAGTCTTTCTAATAGTTTTTGTGGAAGATTTAGTATTTTTGGATTCTTCATCAATTGCACGCCTACTATTCTTCGCAGCAATTGTTCTTCTTCTATTAAGACTGCCGCTATCAATAGTTCTTCTTTTAAGCCTTCTATTACCGCCCCTCGAAGTAGAAGTATTATTATCGAACTCTTGATCAGAAGCAGATTCATTTGCCTCGCTTTCGTCATTTACTTCTTCATTGCTATCTACTAAACCTACCCGTTTCTCCGCTCTCTTTTCGTCTTCTTCTCCACTGCCTTCTTCACTTATACTTGTACTGCTTTCTTCCTCATTTGCAGTAACCTGTTCCTCACTCTCTTCCTTGCCTTCATCTTCATCCTCATCCACATCCTCATCCTCATCCTTAGCGTCCTCCTCTTCCTCTTCCTCCTCTTCGTTTTCATTCGTATTTCTAACCTGTCGACTATTTTTACTCTTTCGACCCGCCCTTCTTCTACTGCTACCAATTGTTTGTTTTTGCTTTTGTGTTTGTTGGCGTGTGCTTAACCTACATGCGGGCTGACGGCCCCTACGTTTTGTTAACAATTTTTGATTTTGCGTGCCCCGATTTCTTATTCGACCACCAGTCCTCTTACTCGACTTACGATCTAATTTAGCTCTCTGCCTATTATTTGTTTTATAATTGGATGATTTATTAACCTGATTCGTGGCATCCTTGCGACTGTATGTCAACAATTCTTCTGCTGTTTCCGCTTCCTGCTTAAGCATTTCTTCTTCTTTTTGCAGAGCAGCCAGACGATTTGCCTCCCATTCACGTTTTTGTGCTTCAATTTCCTCTTCGGCCGCTCTTAACTGTTCGGCTGTCCATGCAGCTCCTGTTTCCTCTACAAAGCGCATGGCATAACGTTCGATGGGCGATAGCTACAGGAACAGTAAAAATTGTTATTATTTTGAATAAAAGGTTATTTCAAAGTTGCATTAATTTTCTTAGTATTTTTTTTTTTTATTTTGTACGACGTTTAGTGATATAATTAAACGAGTGAAATCGTATTAACTATGTCTGAACGTCCAACATTATTAATTTTAGCATTAGAAGTTCTTATGAAGAATCAATAGAGATTAATCTAAACGTTAAATTTCCAATGCTTTCAATTATATTCATTTAACGATTTAGATACAGACAAAAACATCCCGGTCAACCAACAGAGCAACATAGTACTGCTCGTAATTCAAGCATTCTTACACTTACCTGTTTAACTAAGTTTTGCATTTCCAAATCGGCTTTACTTAGTTCGACGTTGCAAGCGCCTTCAGTGGCCATAGTTTCATCCAACGGTATATTTTCATCGAATTCTGCCAGATCAGCAGCTGCTTCTGCCTTTGCAGTTTTCGCCGCTTGAACATCTTGCTCGTCTTCTGCAGCTGCTAAAGCATTCTCGAAAGCTTTCAATGATTGCTTTTCCAAGTCGATTTCCATTGCTCCACCAACCATCATTTCCGAATTCGACACTTCGTGCTGATATTGCGTACAGGAAGAAGCATTCGTTGCCATTGCTATTGTTGTTGAATCTACAGCTTGTTGTTGTGAATCTATATTGAATAAATCCTTTATCGTAGAACTCTTGAAGTATGACGTTGTAAAATTTCCACCTTCAATGGCCATATCGCTGAGCATGCGTTTTTGATTGGCCTTTTTGAGTATATTCACCTCAATAGTTTTCTCAGAGACCAACCGATAAATATGCACGTCCCGTGTCTGACCTATACGATGACAGCGATCCTGCGCCTGAGCATCCATGGTAGGATTCCAATCTGAATCATAAAATATCACAGTATCAGCTCCGGTTAAATTAATTCCTACACCACCGGAACGTGTAGAGAGTATAAAACAGAATATCCGCTTGTCGCTATTGAATCGCTCCATAAGAATTTGTCGTTGCTCCACTTTGGTAGCACCATCCAAACGTAAATATATGTGACCGTGATAGTTGAGAAATGCTTCTAATACGTCCAACATTTTAGTCATTTGTGTAAAAATCAGGATACGATGATGATCGCCTTTAAGTTGTTTTAGCAAACGATCTAATGTTTGCAATTTACCACAATCGTATTGTATTAGACGAGGATCGGGAAATTGTGTTGTCATAGCCGATATAATTGGATGTAAGATAGATAATTTCGTTGACATTTCCCGTTGGATTGTGTTCTCGGTTTCTAATTGCTGTAGTCGGTTAGTCGACGTCAAATTGCGTACGTAGAAGCGTAAACGCGGCGCACAAACGGACGGTACATAAATAACAAAATTATTAAATATTTGTTTTAAATTTTCACAACGTTTTTCATATGATTTAATTATTCTATTAAGTGTCCAATTATCGGAGAAACGAGCCATAGCCGTACAACAATTGCTATAACTTCTCGTATGCCAAGTCGAGTATCTCACCTTATGATTGGCATTCAGGCATTGCTCAAGCGATTCACGACAGTCGGCACCATAAATAGGCGTGGCCTCTGTTCTACGTTTATTTACCGTAGCCATTAATTTCAGACGGGCGAAACGTTTCTCTTTACGCTGTTGAAATATTTCAGTCATTTTATAGACCGAATCAAGTTCTGAGCAATTGTCATCTATCTCAGATGGTTCAGTCTTAAATTCTGCATTATTATATATTGAAAGGCGGGTGCTTGTATTGGATTTCACCTGTCGAACTAAAGCTGAAACTAAAGCCGTTTCGTCTTTTATTGATTTTGCTGCCTTGATATACAACTTCGCATCACCACTACTATTATTGACTGTTGAAGATTTTGCAGTTTCTCCTATTTTTTGTATCTTAGCCGGGGTAGGGCCCATATCATCAGTGTTAGTACTGCTGTTGTTACTATTGGATACTTGAGATCTGGTTACCGTAGTCGTAGTTAAATTAGGTATTATCACACCAAATTTTGGTTGACCCAATGGATTAATTACGTGATTTATACGTTTATTTATACGACTCTGTGACGAATCCACTGATGCCGGCCCGCACACCGGCACAAGTTTATTGCCTTCAGTTTTCATGGTCGGGCTTGCGCCAACACGTACCGCTTGGCTACTGTGTGTACGAAGATTTTGTTGAACTTTTGGATCCCTTACACGTACATGAAATCTATATTTTCCAGTTGGACAACGAGGTGGCAGTTGCGGCGCAGTATCAATTTCTTCGATTAGTTTACGCGGGGCAGCCAACAAACGTGATTTATGCGACACATAGGCGGTAAGTGTCAATTCTAATTCGATCAAGAGCAAGTTAAGAGTATGTAAATTGATTTGCTGCGAATATTTTAAAAGAATAGTTTGGCATATTATAATGATTTTTTATCAAAATATGTATTCACCATAAACGGATCGTAGTCTAACAAATCACAGACCAAACGCGATGTTTCATATGTAATGCCCTCCATTTGAAACGGTGACATTGTAGGTCTTACTTCGAACATATTCGGATGATTGCAAACCTTACGCAATTGCATTAACACATTTATCACACTCAACAAATTGCCTGTTTGGAGTGTTTCCTTCGTCCTAGCGAAAATATAAAAGAAAGGAAACAAGTGTGAAATTAATTCACTGTGTTGGATGAGAAAAAAAAAATGCCGCTCTTTACACAAACAAACTCACTTTGCTCGACTCATAAAATCGTCGTATAAGTAACGTTGACGATTAGATAAACGACACATAATTACGTGCTCGTATTTCTTCGGCATTTGTTTTTCCACTTCTTTCTTAAGACGCCGCAGTAGGAATGGTCGAATTACTTTATGCAAACGTTGTATAAGTTGATCGTTATACTCAAGATTGCCTTCAATCATACCAGTCATAGGATTTGAAAACCATTCTTTGAATTCACGATGTGACGAAAATACGTAAGGCATTAGAAAATGCATCAAAGACCATAATTCCATTAAATCATTTTGCAATGGTGTACCCGTCAATAATAATCGCCTAGAAATAAATGCATTGAATTATATGTGATATTAGACCCCGTGGCTACCGTACAAAGCGGTATTTATTTGAAAATGAAATTCAAATATAATAGTTTTAAAAAGTATAATAAACTGTACTTAAGCTTTTACTTTAAGGGAACTCTAAATAAATGATGAATTAAAGAGATCCTTAAGAGCTTAGTTAAATCTCATTAGAGAATCTTTTTCTTAGCACTCAAGCGTAGTGCTTATATCATTCGTTTAAAAAATATAAGCACGGATTGTAGTGCTTTCAAATTTGCTATCTATAGAAATTTAAGTTTTAAATTTTAGTTTTAAATAAAGCCTTCAAGATAAACGTCACAGTTTTTGCCGCTATAACAATTGATATGTATAGATGAAAATGGAATTTGGCCATAGATGGCACTGGCTGACATGTCTAAAGTCGTCGTTCATGTCCGAACTTGGACTTATCAGCTAGCATTTCTTAGGACGACATACATGTCTGAAGTTTTACAGCTTGAACAATAAGCAGTTGTAATGTCAAGACATATCGCAAGGCAAAACCATTGTTTATAAAAACGAATATGTCGAATTTTCTTCCAAATAAAGACTATTTTGGTTTTCTTCGTCACTCTAACTGGGTATGAAAAGGGGACCTAGATTCAAGCATACCATCGGCATCTATCGCAGGATTGAATCAATATGTCAACATACTCTATGTTTGATGGTACCAAAAGCGTGCTGTCTGTTATTAGTTTCCACAGTCCATTAAAATGGTTAATACCAACAGTTAGCAACAGTGAGTAGTTTCCAAAAGTTGGCTGTTGGAAAAAAAAAACGAGCAAAATATCAAGAGAAGTAGCAGAAAGTCATTTTTTACATGACATCCGTACGTCCGTCTGTCCATCTATATGGCGAAAAAGATTTATGACATGTTGGATGCACTCAACTGGGATACGTAATGCACTTGCTACTTATTCATCAGCCTTGGCTTCATCCGCTTACTAGTTATTTGCACCGACATGACCCGTACTTACTGAACAACGCTTCACTTTTTGCAAAAACGCAAGAAAATGAATTGACTAGTTTGCTCTTCACCAGGCAGGTAAAAAAAATTTATAGGTAAAAATGGGATATATCTCGAATAAAATATTTTTTTTATCAATTTCAAACAATAAACATATATTATCCACATAAAAAATTCCGGTTTCATATTTACATACATGGTAATAGTTTAAGGTTATACGAATAAAAAAAAAACTGCGGAGAATATATTTAACATTGGCACAATTTAAGTGCGCAAACAGCACTTGCACTTTTCAATTATTGTCGAAAGCTCTACTAAGTGATGATTCTAGTAAAAAGATGTCATCACCTTGCAAACTTTTCATTTTCTTTAGCATTCTTGTATTACTCTCTAAGAAAAGGCATCAGAGAATTTAAAGAAGACAAGAATGCCTACACAGAAATGCTTACCGCTATAATAGTATTGGAAATATACTTAGATTAGCCGTATCTATCTCTATCTGTCATGATAGCTTTGTGGTCGTCTCGCGATCCTATTGTGTGCACTTTCTATAAAATTTCAACGTTTATATATTCATATTCGTCGACTATGTACTATCTATCTGCTGAAATTATTATTACTTAAAAGCTTGCCCCAAAAAGATTACGACTTAATTTTTGGATTTTAGGTTTTACTTCTCTTAGGTTAACACTAGAAGCGCTCGGTGGAATCAGTACGCCTTTTCCAACTTTATAGGTCCAGGAAAATGATTATCAGGCATGTGCCAACTTCCGAAAATTTTTTGTTGATTTTTATTTATAAAAAAATACCTCCATTTTCTCTACCTAGTTCAACACCAACCACATATACATACTTATACCTTATACAATTCTGCAGCCATAAAATAAAGATTGGAAGCTGAAATTTGGCAGAAATGTTCATTAATTGATATAGAACTAGTTTCTGCCCATACACACGACCGAAATTGATAAGAAATTGAAAAAAACTCAAAAGAATCGAAAACTCTTCCTGCTTTTAAATCGAAGACGAATTTCGGTACAGGGTATACTAGATTTGCGAAGATGTGTACAACCCTCAAACGAATTCGAGATGGACCCACCTTTTATTAATCCGATCGATTGAGAATCATTTTCTGAATCGATCTAAGACTATCTGTTCGTCAATGAACCGACATTGGACCAGACAGTCCAATGTCGGTTCATGTAAATTTATGTTCAAGCTACAGGTCGCAATTTTTGAGATATTTTGCTGAAATTTTGTACATGGTTTCACTCAAGAACGAACGCTATTGATCGGTACATAAAAGTGGCAAAGTTATAGTTATTCGGCATTTTAAATAGGCGTAAAAACTTAAAAAAAACCTTGGACCGGTTTTTATATAGCCAAAACATATTATTTTAAATATTGAAAATAAACTGACAAAGATATCAACCTTACCAAATTTGGACCACGTAGGTCCATTTTTTGGATACCTCCGCGTATGAGGATTTTCATGAAACCTAAAGCCTTATATGGCAAAAGAGCCTAATTCTTAATTGTTTTATGATGAAAATTTGTTGATGAGAGTAATTGAATAAAAAAATTATGTGGACTTAATTTAAACCGCATATCTTTTAGCCACACCCCATATAAGATACCTCATAAGTAAGGCCTTTTCGCAAAAAGGTTTAATTTTTAATATTTTATGATGAAAATTAATTCACATTAGCGTTTGAGCAACAAAAATTAAGGATAGTGAATTTGGATCACACAGGTTTGTTTTTTGGATCCTAACATATGTAGGCGCGATCGCGAAACGCACTCTTATATGGAGAGAAAGTCGGACCTATAATAATGGGTACTTTTTGCATGCACATTTTGGTATATTATTATCAAAACTAGAAAATAACTGTACTAAGCGAAGCGGTGCAGGATATGTAATCGTCGACGTTGCTCGACTATAATGTTCTTACTTGTTATAGTGTTAAGTTTAGTGCTAAAAGTCTTAAGAATTTTTGTGGAAAACATTATAAGAACACCAGTACCGTTGACAACTTCGGATTACCAACGTGCAGATTTTGTAAATATACAAATAGCGGCTTATTAAGCGAAGTTGTTTGTTGAATACAATTAATAGATCGCTGATAATATATGCGACTGAAGGGATTAATTAAGATTTAATGGTTTACTCTTTTTGTTAGCGGTTTAACATTTCTGATGCATTTTAAAACATCACCGCTACGCTACCCGTTGTTTGGATTCCTTTTGCACACACTTACGATTTTTTTATTAAGATGTTCTTTTTAAGAACAAGAGTGCGCTTTTTTAAGGTGCGATATGAAACTAAGTTGAAGAAATCTTACCTTTCAGTAGAAAAATTCAATAGCAATTGCCAGCGTTGTGATTTAAAATTTTTTATATTTTGAGCTTCATCCAGTATCAGATATTTCCATTTCTTACGTCGAAAGCTTTGCTGATCTTGTACAACCAGCTTATAAGATGTTATGCACACATGAAAGGCGTTCGGTTTTGTCCAACCAACGCGTTTCATTTTTCGCTCTTTTTGTACGCCATAATATGTAAGAATTTTAAAGCCAGGACACCATTTTTTGAACTCCATTTCCCAATTCAGCATCACAGACGACGGCACAACAATCAAATGTGGACCCCAGTTACCTTTCACGCAAGCTAAATGTGCCAGCAAAGCTATCGTCTGTATAGTTTTACCCAAACCCATTTCATCGGCTAAAATACCATTGAGTTTGCGCTCATTCATAGTCACTAACCAATCGAGACCTATATGCTGGTATTCACGTAATGTATGTTTTAAAAGGAACGGTACCGGTGTTACTACATTCGTAGACGACAATGTATTGCCTTTAGGTTGCAAACTTTCAGCTAAAGCAGCAGCATCTTTAATCATATCATCTTTGCTATTAACATTCGCATCTTCGAACAAGCTTTTAAGACCATCCGCTTCCTCTTCTTCGGGTGTATTTTCTTCATCGCCTTCTTCCTCAAGATCGTCGCCTTCATCTTCGGAATCTTGGTCGTCACTTTCTTCATCAGCAGTGGACTCATCGTCGGAATCTCTACTTGGCTTCACAATAGTTTCTTCATTCTCATCATCACCGTTACTCCCGTCGTCTATTTCCATTTTTTTACTATCTTCACTTTTTTTTGGTTTCTCTTCTACATCCGTATTATCTAAGTTAGTCGATGTGTATCTTGCCAAGAGCTCGACTACTGTCAAATCGTTATCGGCTTCAAGTTCATCAATTTCCTTTTGATGATCTATATCCATTTCTTCAGCCTCTTGTTTACTAATAGTGTTCTCATCATCTTCACTAGTTTCGTTAACAATAAATTCACCATCATCGCTATCAGTGGATCCTTCATCATTCTCTTTCAAATGATTTTGTTTCTGCTCTTCAAGTAAAATTTTGTCACGATTCTCCAAGTAGCCTTTGGGCAAATCCTTAATAACATCATTCAATTCCATCTGAGATTCCTTTTCTAAAGCGGCAATCTCAGCATCAACATCCATTGCTTCTTCTTCCTCAGCTTTCGCTATTGTTTCTTCGTCGTCGTCAGAAGTAGATTCTGGACGAAATTCCTCTGCAAAACATAAGAACAAAAAAAACCGTTGAACATCTTTCAAAACTAAGTATTATTGTCATTTGTTAATCCTCTTCATCAGACAAATGCCTCGCTTAATGCGACATCCTATTTTGCTTTCCAGCTAACTCAACTCAAAAATAGAGTGTAAAGAGCATATGGAATCAGTGAAGTTTTAACATCATTAGGAAATGAAACAAGCGAACATAAAAAAATTGCTGTTGCACTTACCGTCCGTATTATCTCTTTTCGGCGAAGATATTCTGCTAGAATTTATGCTGGGATTTGCGCTGGCGTCCACTAAAGACTTATTCATTCCCTCGGCTAATTGTTGAGAAAACTTTTCCGTTTGATCCACGATAAACGATAGATGTTGATCTAAAGCTTTTTTGCGTTTCTCCTCAAGCTTGGTATGATGCTTATACTCTACTAATTTTTCAACATTAGACCAAAACATTTTCACTTCTTTAGCTATAAAAGCGGCCACACGTTTCAGATGTGCCTCCTGAGCCTTTTCCGCCTTTTGAGCGGCATTCGCCTTATCTTGAAAGTATTTTTGAACCATTTTTGCACATTTTTTTGCAGCTGCCTTTTTCCATTTACGTTCCTGAGCAAAATCAGCTGCCAACCAAACCATTTCCTCGAGAAGATAATCCCAATGGGCTTTTGGTCGGGCCGGTTCCAATTGTTTAGGTAAACGTTTTTCCGTCCACAGTCCCTCCCTCTGCAGTTCCATGATACGACGCATAACATCAACCTCCTGTTTTGCTTTATAGCTGAACTCTTGAGCACTATTAGCAGCCGTCGTACTTGCAGACGCTACCGTACTGCCATTAACTGAACTCGCGGGTACTAGTAAACCACTTGGGGTGGGTGAATACAGCGGGGGTGGCGTATTCGATGCGATCACGCTGTTACCATTACGTCTCAAAGTAGTTGTACCTTGAGCTGTACTGCATGGTATCAGAGGAGTGCCACCTAATTGCATTAAAAAATAAAAGAGCAACAACAGCGATTACATTGAAATTGAAAAAAATTTTAAAAATTTCCTTTTATGAAAAAATTAAATTGAAAATGCAAACATTTTAAAAACCCATTTAGACATGCGTTTATATACTATTAAAATTAAAGGAAAATTACGAAAAGGTATTAGTAGAAATTTTTTATTTTATTTATTTATTTATTTTTTTTTTGACGATATCACGATAGACGAACTCATGCAATATATGTTTTTGCCTACTTTCTATAAAGAATTTTTAAAAATCTCCTAAGATTTCATTTTGTTTGTTAATAACAGTAATAAATATTAAATACCGAATACAAGTCAATTATCCTAACATCCTGCAGAGATGTATAATTTTCGTAATCTCATGACAGGAAGATTATGTTGTACGTACAAGCTGTGCCATGACTTTCTAACATAGCTTCTAGACTATAATATAATTAACGATGTTAACAAAAATGTTTGAAAGTAATTTGCTTGTAAACAGAGTCATCGTTCATTCCGATGTATCGCGGAAGAACTTTGCATCTGCTGAATTTTTTTAGCACGCATTTACGATTTTCAAGCCAATTCGATTATAGCAAGAAAGTGCTTTTTAGGTGCGCTGCCATGTAAAACATGCAACCAAGTCTTCTTTTACGTCGTCTTTCACTACTCGATTTTGAAATAACACGTTTCACCATTAAGAATCAACACACTTTTCTACACAAATTCTGCAAATTAAATTTGTTTTTTTTTTGTAATAAAAATGAATTGTTTTTGTTTTATAAATAGGTAATGCGAATTTCATCATCACTTTTTTTGCAAGGTTTTTAGAGTTTTTCACCTTACGTGAACTTTTAAGGTGTTGAAAAATATCCCCCATTTTCCAAATGCAGCATGTATTTTTTAACATTTTTTTATTGCACGATTTTCTAAGCAACGCACTTAACGTGTAAAAAAGAATTGGATGTATTAACAAGATTTAAGGAATTTTGTAATAAAAGTGTAAGCCTTGATGTTAAGATTTTTGGCAGTTTTAGTGGCTCACTCAAAATATGATTTTGTAATGTAGGGCACTACTGTAGTCTGCCAAAATTCAATTCTCATAATTATCGCATTGGGACTGTTTAGCTAGTAGACAATGGGATCAGTTTTTCGTCTTTTATGCACACCACTAAGCAGCGCAAAGAAGTACAATCCATTAAAGATTTTGTAAATTATTATAGTCTAGACGACCTGTCGCGTAGGATTTGAGATCGATCCATCTTCTGCTATACCAATCGATTCAGAGTCATTTTCTGAAAGGATTTGATCTGATATCTGTCAATATATTTTTGGGTTCAACGTGCAGGTTGCAAATTTTTTTGTCAGACCGAAATGTTGTCAGCACAAGGAACCGCCCTATTGGCAATGGCATGGATCAAGCCACTTTTTCGACCGCTCCCCATACAACGCCTTTTTATGGAAAGTTATTATATGAAAAAATTGCGGAGTAATGGCGTTTCAACATTCTAAATTGATATGATTAATTTGGTTCGGATGGGATAATTTTTCGAGCTCCCCCTCCTATAATACCTCCTATTAAAACTAAATCTTCATATGGGAAAAAGGGTTTAATTTCGACCATGCCTACTTTTTGGATCTCAGGCCATAAACGATTCTCATCGAAAATAAGCCCTTACATGGCAATGAGGTGTAATTTTTAATATTTTATGGCGAAATATAATATTGATACTAATTTGGCACAAAAGTTATATGGAGCAATGGACGTCGATCGATATAAGGACTCTCATGAATAGAAGGCCTTTTCGCAAAAACGTTTAATTATCAATATTTTATGATGAAATTTGGTTCATAGTACCAATTTGCTACATGACTAGAAAATGTGTGCTTCTAGACCCCGTTATTTATACCGAACAAAAATGGGTTTTCGTGTGGAAGAAAATCTAAATTGTATTTTGTTTAGAGAGAACAGGTGAAAAACAATACTGCCTTTAACAAGTACAATGAATATGTCTACTTTTGACCACGTCAGTTGCCGGTTTGAGCAGGTCTTTCTGAGAGATCTGCCATGCCTTTATAAAAAAATTATTTACAGTTTTTGATGCATCATCACAAAAACAAATGGATAACAGGTGCGTTCGTCCGTCTACCTTTTTGTTCGTTAAGCACTTTTGATGCGTGTATGTAATATGCTTTCACCTTCAAAGGCGGAAGAAATAATATACTCGCCATTCTGTCCGAAACGTTCGAGAATAAGGATGACAACATTTCATAGTTGGTCAGAGTAATAAATGTGTTTAAAACTGTTCGTTGAGGTCGCAAAACATGATATAGAGAAGTTTTTTGTTGTTACAGTTTCAGATGAAAGTTAAAGATCGGATTAAAGTTAATGACCAAAATTGTCTCATAAATATCCTCGTATTATTGTAAAAACTAGTAACACAGCATATGCGTTTTGGAAATTTCTGTATTCTCCATAGTTATCTAAAAGTCTAACTATAACTATAGTTGTCCCATTGCATAATTTTCAGTTTTTTAATATATACTGATTTAAGACAATAGGCCCCCATCATCTGTCGCAAGACAAGCATGTTCTTCTTTCTTGAAATGCATAGTTCTAGATCGACGCAAGCACCCGCACATCCTAAATGTTCACAATTTCAAAACCTTGATAACAGAGTTTTAAAAGTTCTTCACTGATTAGAAAAAATGTGAACCTGTGAGATAATCACATTATAGCAGATGGATCAATCTATAATAAGATATTAGTTAAGGTTTTACGTAATTGATTTATTCTGGCAAGGTAACAAATTGTCTACACTTTAGAATTAATAACAAGTGTCACAGAGTGCCCTTGCCTTTATTATTACAAATAGGCCGGATATACCAGGAAAAACCAAAACAGTCGTAAAAGTAGAACAGAAAGTTTCATTATAATTAAGTTAACATGTTTGGGCAGCAAAATCACTATCTTCCTCATATCTGCAAAATGTATTGAAAAAATATTACACACACGATTTCTTCTTAAGCAATTCTTAACTTTATTTACGATGAACAAAAAGATCAAACAAAACTTCTATTAATCTAACTATTATTATTTATTTCAAAACACATTGTGTTGGGCCTGCAAGCAAGAGAAATTTTTTTGATTTGTCACCATACAATCGGAATTGCGGTCACAATTGACAAAGTAAAAAATAATCTGCATCTCTCGGATTCTAAGAAAACGCTAATCCGCATTCTGTTCTATTCTCAATATACACAAACTTTGACTAATGTACATTGTAGTGTCATTGCAATTAAAGGTGTTTGGAGAATTTCAAATTACCGCATATACAAAAAGAATGTGCATCCCCGAGATATGTTGGCCGACAAATTCCATTCTGATACGAAAGCAATGTAAATGAAAAGTTATAAAAGTAAGGTGGGTTTTTATTGCATTCGCCAATTGGATGCTAGAAATGTGTGAAGAGGATCGTTCCCTGTCCAATGCATACGTACACATGCAAGACAAGAAGTAATGATACACTTGTGATTCGAAAAATTCAAGTGAAAGCATTGCAAAACATTCTTAACAGTCCTCGCATTGGTGATGTAACTGGTTACAATACCTCTTCACCTCTGCCGGCTGGACCATCGAGGTGAAATCATGCAGTACTATTGAGAATGGTTCAGATTGGATCACTTCCCCTATATTATCTTATTATGAAAAGTCGTTTTAGGAGTAACTGCGTAGTGGGACTTGGGCCCTATACTGTACTATAGTGTTTACCGTAAAAACTCTTATAATCGGAAGAATCAAACTGTGTTCAAAATCGAAATTGTTAAAACTAAGAAATTCGATAGAAAGTTGTAATGTTAAAAGATTTTGCTATAAGGAATTCAAAATCAAATCATACAAAAAAAAAAAAAAAATGAGGCTTTTAGAATCTTTTCAATATTTCAGATCTACAAGTATAGAATAGAGAAAAAAACAAATGCAACTCAAGCAACGACAAGAATAATGGAATACAATGCTTAATTTAAAAAAGTTTTACAAATTAAAAAAACATAAATACACCGAATGATTAAAATGTGAGCGAAGCCAAGTCATCTATCTATCTACCAGAAAGCCAATTTTACACGAATTTTTAATGAAATGATACGCAATGAAAAAAGCCGGCTTACGTACATACAAATAATAAAAATTATAATCGCAGAAATAGAAAACACATTTCTGCAAACTCTGCCAAAAAAGTACCCGAGATTACTATGACTAAAACAACTTTTTTCTTTAAATTATCATTTTAAAGTCTCGCCCGCCTTAGGCGCTAGTGCTTTAAGACTTTAGTCTTGGGATTTTGTTTCCCTGGCTACATATATTATAATAATTATAATAACAATAAAATGTATTTCGAAAAATGCATGTAAAAGTTTTTTTTTTTATTATATCAAACGACTCAATTTGCTTTTCATGAAGCGTTACGAGCTCTCTGGGCCGGCAAAAGCGTCATATGTCGAATAAGAATCTGCAGCATTTGTAGAATTTTGTATCAGATAAATATCTTTACCAGAACGCAAACTTCTTTTGGTGCGAATGCAAAAGGTCACTTCCTCCGATAATCGGTCGAATTAAAATAATATGTTTCATTTGTGTTGACTGATAGACCTATTTCAATCCGGATACCTTTAACGAACAATGTTCTTTGCTAGTTTTGAGAAAGTAATAATTTTGTATCGATTAGGATTTGGAGAAGAAGTCCAGAAAACTGGGTTTCAACCATGCCAAGATTCCGAGGGGTAGCGTTCAAACTGAAGTCGTACGGTGATGTTATTATCGGTAGTAAAAATCGAAAAAGGAGACTCCAGAGTATCGAAATAAACAAAAAGTCCCCGTAACCTTTGAAATTTACGTGTTCTGTCAGTTCAAAAGTTAACCGCCTGAGTAGTCGAGTCAAAGCGGTAGAATTGCTCAGTAAGTGCTCAGTAGGTAAAGGCATAAACACTTACCAATTGAGCACACACGCAATAAGCCACTGCCGCTTCCCTGTTTCTCTCCGTTTCATTACTTTCTGAGCGTTGCCGTATAACGCCAATATTCCCTGAGTGATTGCTCATATAATAAAAAAAAACTCACTTACTATTGATACTTATTAATTGTAATTTCTATACATAGTCCCCTGCTTTTTTGACAGAATATACATGATATGAGAGCCTACGAAGGAATACAAACAGAGAAAACAAAAACGAAAAGAAAGAAATAACAATTAAAAAATGGCTTTTTTTATAAGTGATAAGGAAAGATTATTGAAATTCAAATGAAAAATGATTCATGAGAGAAAAAAATTAATTAATTTATATAAAAATTCGAAGAGAAAACATGACGCAAAAAAAAAATGTCAAAATAATAAAAAAAAAATTAGAAAGTAGAGTTGTGGAAATGAGATGGATACGATAAGCACCTGGCACCAAAGGTACAGAAGTTCCTACTGCAGGTGGAGCGGGTATTTGACCAAATACCATCCCGTGACGACCACCTAAAGGTCTACCCGGAATGTGACCTAGATTTTTCATGGTAAACAACGTTATAAAAGTTACAAGTATTACAATAAAATCAAAAAAATAAAAACAATAAAACAAGGAACAAAAATACACAAAGCAATTGTAAAACACAGTATACAACACAAACCGATTTTTTTTCTTTTATTTTAAGGCCAGAAAATATTTTTAACTAATAAGCAAACATATGAGAAGAAAAAAAAAAAATAATAATTTTTATTTTTTCAAGAGCCTAAAAATGAATATAAAAATTTTGGTGTATTTGTTAATGTGTTTATTAATGATTAAGTGCTTTAGATTTTCGTTGGCATGATACGAGTAGTTTTAAAATGAAAGATAATTATGGAGAATTGGTAGTAGAGTTAGTGAGTAAGAGAAACGATTTGTAAATAAAATTTGTGTTAATTTAGTTCAAAGCAAAGATAAAAATATAATTTGATTTTCTTCTTCTTCTCCTTCTTCTTTTTTGATTTAAAAGAACTTTTTAAAGGAAAAAATATGAAAATTTTTTTCTTTTGCAAATTTAAAAAAAGAAAATTATGAATATAACCAAAATATAATATTTAAGAAATTTTGTACAAATTTTTTGTTTAACTTTTTCTTTCTTTTCTTCTGCGCTTTGTTTGTCAAGTAGTGTAAATGGTTAAGGAACATACCTTGCTGGCTTAACTGTTGAACGGCAGCGGGTAATTTTGTAGAGACGGCCACTGGTGTAGCACCAACGGCCGGTATTTTAATTTCTGCTCCCTGAGGTGGTAAAATATTGCCACTAGCATCCGTAGTTGTCGGCAAAATAGTGCTTTGGATGCCTGCGGCTCCATAGTGAGTAGCAGCAATGCTAACTGTGCCTGCAGGTGAATTAATATTCCCACACCCATTGTTATTATTGCCATTAATGATATTCGTACGCCCATGAGTTGTTACCATTAAAGAGTTATTATTATTAATTGTTGATGAAGAAGTGGTGCTGAAATTTGCTTGAGATTGTGTATTCTGCAACGAAACGAGAAGGAAAATATATTTATTATAGCCAGTCCTTTAGAAAATTCCCCACTAAGACAGTCGCGCAAACTAAAATCAGGCAAATGCCTCGCTTAAGCGAACATCCTTTAAATAAAGTTTCGATTCTCTCCAGTATAGATTGAATCAACTTTTCAGTGACATGTTAACATCATATTGAAAAATTTATTAGATAATATCCGACGTCCACTATCTACCTACAATGACTTACTATTAGGCTCTGCACATATTTGAAACGCAAGTAATTCGGAATAATTAACCTTTGACCGCATGTTCTCTTCGTAGTTAACATAGGCGTAATAATCTTTTGATATCTTAATTTCACCGGTGGGACTAAATGACCGATCAGATTGAAACATTTGGATTCAAAGTTTTGGACTTCCAACGCGTCTTCTTTTCCTTCTTGAATTGCTTTAGTTTACGTCGTAGATTTGGACATTATCACGACCCAAATTTTAACTTGTAGTTATTGTAAAGGCTATGAATTGACAGCTAACCAGGTATGTTATAGTTTGTGCTCGAATTAACAAATATTTTTGATATATTTTACTGGTTAAAAGGTTAAGCGAACAAGAGAACTTTCTTCATGATATGTTAGATGATAGCATTGTTGATTTAATACCAAACAATTTATGCCTAAAAACCTCACCTGTTATCAAGCTTAACATATCTTTCAAATTTTATATTTCTACCCGCCGCTCCCTCCCCCCTCTTCCTTCGACAAATTTTGTCAGAAAACAATACGAACGGACATATAAGATTTTGGACTTCTTTATATATTAAAGAATTTTCCACGTTCATTTGTTAATTTCGGAACGAACACATCACAAATCTAGGGAAATCCTATACTAAGTTGGTGGTGAGTGTGATAACAATTAAATTAAATCGCATTTATTTACTAACCGTTTGTTGTGTTGCCTGCTGCTGTTGTGGTTGCTGCGTATGGCCAACCACTCCAATTATTGTTGCTATACTATCAGCCGTTTGATGCGGCTGCTGCTGTTGCTGCGTGTGTATATCTGTCGTGTTAGGGGTGTTCGGTGCTGATGTCCTTTCATCGCTAACCAATTGATCCAAACGATAAGCATTGCTGTAGGTGATGAACTGTGGGGTGGGTGGTTTTTTACGCCACGTCGGATAGTCCATCATATTGCCACCGGTTTGCAAATAAAACAACTCGGCGACATTTTCAGAATGTCTTAAAAAAATACAAAATGAAAGGAATAATACAATTAGGAAAAAAATTTTAAATCGTCCCTGAAATATTTTTTTCGACTTACTTTTCTTTTAAGCTACGCAACCGTAAATATTTCTGTTCTAAAATAAGTTTTTTCAAAGCTTGAGGATTATTTTTAAGTTTATTACTGTCAGGTGTTGCTATACTGGGTTTATTCAGTGAACAGTTGTGACTATGGCTGGTTGGCAGAAGGGATCCGACTATACATATATTGGGCGCTAAAACTGTTATTTCACCACCTGCTGTACTGTGAATGTCATCCAATATTTTGCGTTTAATTAAAGGCGTATTAATCGAAGGATCGGATATATTTGTAGCGGCCGTGACAAAAGATGAGTCCGTTCTTATTGTTGGCGCTGTTGTAGTTGTTGGTGTTACTGATGATGTCAAACGATTGGATGACGTTTGAGGCATATGCGTCAAGGATTGTTGCTGCAGCTGCTCTTGCTGCTCTGTTGTGGATGTAGTCGTCGTTGGTAACGGCTGTAAAGAATGTTGGGCAAAGGCTTGCTGAAAACTTCTCGGTACTGGACTTGTACACGCTTCACCCAGAGATGCACTGTTTTGTTCGTCGGCTGTTATAGCTAACGATAGGGGCGTCGTAGATGACGCTGATTTTAAATTGTTTGTGTTAATTATCCTATTTGATGATGTTATAGTAGTTGTTGATATGCGGTCTGGCACAGCAGGAGGGGCCGGGTTAGACCCTTGATGCCCCCCTCCTGCTGACTCACCTTCATTCATGTTTGATGCATCTAATCAAAATAAAACATTGTATATAGTCGAACTGCTCTTTTTTTTTACAGTTGCATTCTTTAAAAAGTTGGTGTTTACTGCTATGTTCACAGCAAAAAAAAAAAAAATTGGTTATGATTTCTTCTCTACTAAGACTTAACGGAAATAGCCTGAAGCGTATTCACTGCTTCTTTTTATATGGCGAGATTAAAAAAAAAACTTTATCTTGATCAAAATTGAGATGATAACGCACAATTCAATCTTGGTAAACGATAAAACGATTTTCTTTCCATTCAGGTTATATGTCTGCTAGCTAAGCTTCAATAATTGAATGTGAAATCGTATAAATTTACAATAACGGATACATAAGAGTTAGCGTCTAAATGGAAGAATAATAGCTTTCTTTAGCTTACTATAAATTTACCATCGTGCAGTTTGTCGGTATCCTTTGAGTAAACGTAGACATGTGAATGGTTAAAAGCCATGAATTGAAAATTTTCTTTGCAAAGGAAGAAAGCTTGAAAAGGTCTATACATGGATTCTTGTCCGAACAAAACTTTTTTCTTTCCAAAAACTAGACTTTGTTTATCCACGCAATTTTCTTCAAGAATAATGTAATATGTCCGATAAGTTTCTAGCATTTCAATAGACTTTTCATAGAACGATTTCTCAATACATTCAAAGTTTGCTGCAGTATCTAAAACGACCTCTAATCGTTTTACTTGATATCGCGATTTGGAATTTGAAAACAGATGTTAAACGCCGAGGATGAGAATTTCAGAATATGGGCACAGCACCACCGTGTGTTTGAGCAAAATTTTGTCAACTAGTTGCAGGTTTTGGTCGTTACAAACGTCCATCGTCACCCAAGCTGGCATGTACGCGTTTCAGGCCAGCTACCCCAAAATTTCACCAGAGGAAATGATGATACAAAGTCCACGTATGTACGATGTCCAACTGCTCTTTAATTTGCATACATCTATTGCCATTCAAAAATAAATAATTAACGGCAGCTCTATACCGTTTACCATTTCCAATACAACTGCGCGTTCAAAATTACTGAAACATTGGTGGATACTATTCACCGCGTGCACAAACATATAGCCCAAATTTTGTGGATAATTGTTGCCATCTTCAGGTTCAGATCTGAAGCTTTTTAATGAACCTCTGCGTATCCACTTATATTATGATTATGTCGTCCATTGAAAAAATACTGAAAGTTTTCAAATGAACGTTATACTGAAGCTATCGGCATTTCACATCCACCTATTCACATCAGAATGCGTCAATTTGAGCAATAATTTTCGAACTGAACGTAAAACTGAAGAAAATCTGGGTAACAGTCCTCCGCAAATATGTCTACAGGCTCGAAAGGTATAGGCGAAAACATGCAAACGTTATCTGTGGCCATTTCATATTGCGAGGGCGTAGGTAAAGAAATTACGTCTCCTTTTTTATATTAATCAGTTCTTAATCAGTCACGAAATGTTTATACCAAACTTATATCTGTTTGTGCCATTGTGGCGATTGTCTGTCAAAGTGACCTATTTTGATAGGAATACGTATATGACATCGGTATTTCGAATACCAGAAAATTTTGGAACTTGGTTTATGCCTTATAAATATTTCTTTGAATCTCAAGCCTCGAAAAAAAGTCATATTGCACTACGCGGCAGCTTCAATGTTACACAGCGTAGGAAGGAAAAAAACCTTTGAGCTTGTTGGAACTACACGATGCATGCGCACGTCTACCTCTGAAAAAATAGACTAGCTTCTTATATAATGGTGATCCCAATTCTCCGATAAAAATTTTCCCCAAGCTGTAGGTTCCCAAAGTAATATCGGAAAGCACCCACAGCAATGATGTTACATTATGGTGTGATGTAAAAAACATTAAAAGGCCATTAAGTAATTGTAAGCTTGCTTTGCTATTTTCGATCTTCCTCAATTTTTGAGGAAAACATCCCAAAATAAAACAAACTTCACATAACTCGTTTGGCGTAATTTTGATTAATGTTTTTGATGTTGTGTCTTAATCCCTGCTCTTTAGAACGAAGTCAAGTCAAGTCTCTAAGAAATTCAATACAAATTATTCGTTGAAGGCAAGGATGGATAAGCAGTTTCTTCTAAAGTATCCGTACGAGTATCACGGTACATGTTCTTTCTTACTCTTTCGCTAATTGCTAGTCAGTTAGACGGCTGCGAAATAAGCGATCTTGATGACCGATCTATAAGCAAATAAGAACTTTAGCAGAACAAAATTAGGAGGCGTTAATAAAGAAACGTCCAAGACCTGCTGCTAAGTTTTATACTCGAGTTCGCATGAAGAGCAAGGGTAGGAGTACGGTACTTTGATAGTTTGATAAATTTAGTTCTTCTTTTAAAATATATATAAAAGTTCCACAGCAAATGTGGGGAAAATGTGGCATAAAATAATTAAATAACAAGTTTTTCAGTTGCTATTAAGGAAGCGATCCTAACTAGACTCCTAATGACGTAAAGAAATTGAATATTGGTTTCTAGAGTTACCATCGCAGATCGATAACGTTGGACAGTTATCCGTAAAGCAACTGATATAAATTGAAATAGCCCAGAGGCTGCGGACCAGATAAAGGCAGTATAGATTTAATTTATCTAAGTTCCATTCCTGATTAACGATCTTCTTATTTGTCAACAAGATGATAATAATGCTTGCTGGAGGAACAATTCGTACATCTCTCAAATTTAACTGCGAATAAGGAATATTTGCATATATAATTTCCTCGATATGCTCTGAGCTATCTTAAATTATAACTATGTAAGGATTGGATATAAGATTTGAAAAAAAAGTTGTAGTAGAAATAACAAAAGATTAAATAATTAAGAGACTTATTAAGCATTGTTCCCCCACTTCAGGCAACACTAACACAAATTGTATTCTACTTTATATATCAAATTATTAACGAATCTACAAATCAAACATTGGCACTCTTTAGAAAGGTTTGTTGTCATTTTTATCATTGTTGACAATAGCACCATAAAAAATAATCTAAAAATTCAATTGAACATAAATCAACAGGCTGCAGCAAACGCCTATACAATTTATTTATAATATTCTCATTATTAACGAATCATTATTTCATAACAATAAAATTAATGCAACTTATATAGAAAATAGCGTTCATCCATTACGAACTTTGAGATTACCTAAATTTTCATATTCAATATAGTGAAAAATTACAAACTTCAAAACCATATCTAAAAAAAAAAGTCTAAAAATGTAAACGAGAAAGCCGGTTTATAAACAATTTTTTTTTATTTTAGTTACTGGACACTAAATGAAATTGGCATACATAAAAAAACCTAATATTGATATTTTGAAATAATTTTACCAATTTGCAATTTTGAGTAATTAAGATTTAGCAAAAAAAAATCGGATATTAAAAAAAAAACGTAAAAAAAACATACCAGTAAACACACATGTACGCACAAACGTGAACGCTATTTTTTCTTTACTCTCCATTAAATTCTTACATTTTTTTCATTTTCTTATGTACATCAACTTACCTCAGATGACTTTTAAAATTTAATCACGATTTTTCCCTCATGTAGTAAGCCATCGATTAATGAGTTTATTATCAAACGTTTTCGAATGATCCACAGAATTGTTTTCTTATAAAATTTTTAATTGATTTCTTAATTTTATCAAGAAAATCAGCTTTGTAACAACTTTTTTCAATTTTTCTTTAGCAAATGGAAAATTTTTCTTTCTTTCACTATGACTGCTACTATATAGTTGCGCTTTTCTCGCATACACGCTTTCGTATATTGAATTGGCATTTAGCAAGCAAATTATCGTCTAACTAGCGACAACACTTTACTAGCGCAATGTCTTACAGCTTGAAGTTTTAGATGCAAAATAAATTGCGGTGCCATTGAAACAGTGGAAACAGTGAGTGTGAGTGAACATAAAAGACACACGTTGCACACGTTGCCACACGTTGTTTTAAAAATTGTTTTTACACATATGGTAAGAGCTTCACTAATTTTCTCGAATAAAATCTATTTCACAAAACACCCGCGAAGAACTTTATTCTCATTGTTCTTCTCTCATACCTTTTGACTCACTCCTTTTGTTTGGCTCATTTCACTTTATTTAATATAAAGCACATCAGTAATTATAACATGTGTAAAATCTGAAAACACCTGATCCTTAAACATATGTTTAAACGAAAAAAAATTTTATTTTTCTGTCAGTAAGCGCGACTAATCGAAGCGTCAGGGGGGAAATAAGTTTTTATTTTTATTATTTATTTTATATTTCAGAATTTCGGAAAAGAGTTAAAATTAAAACTTTTATTTTTAAAATTTTTAAAATTTTCTCTTTGTGGTTAAGGAAAATTTAAGTTAGTAAACAAATTTATCAAATTTCTTTCTTAAACTTCCTAATTTTAATTTTTTTTTATTTTATTTTTATTTATTACTATGCAATTATTATCATTTTTATTATTATTGTTATGTTAATTTACTATTATGTTGCACACCGCTCGTAGAATTGTGTATAGTACACAATTGCAAATATAATAAAAAAAAAAATGTTGCAAAAAGGTCGGCTTGCAAAATTCTTGCAAATATTTTGCAAAAGTGGTTAAACTTATTAAATGTGCTATAATATAATAAAAATTATGTTTACGATAAGCATTTTTTACCAGAATGTAATAAAATATCCTGATTATTATCCTGTGTTGACTACAGATACGGTATCAACATTTTATATGGGCACTTCTGAAAAAATAGCGCATCAAAACAAGAAGTGAAACAAACGGATGTGTGCAAAACGGACGGAATGATGGATGAAGCAAAGAGAGAAATTAACTACACTGAGGCAGAGAAAGCCATCTGCGAACAGTATTGTACTCTCTTTCATTACCAGCCTTGAAAAATGTCTACCGCAAAGATTAGATAGGCGTTGTAAATTGATACCGATTGAAAATATATACATTTATGAAATTTTTTGGGCTTTTTTTTTCTCTAATGTTCTAACAAACGAGTAAGCATATGTACTCACTTTTTTTTACAATTGTTTATTAATATTATTTATGGTAATTTTTAAGTGTTTTTTCCAAAAGAAGTTCAGAATTTGCTTTTATCATCTGCTCATAGTTTTCTGGGAAAAACTCCGCATTTTGTGTTAAATTTTTGTTGTTTTTTCTTGTGATTTTCTATCAAAATTAAAACCCAATTTGTATGGTAACACCAAACAAATATTTATCAAACACCATGGTTGGTTTTTTTTGGACGACGACATTACCTAAACGAAAGAATTCGGTAACAGCATAATTTTCTCTGCGTATCTTTGATAATAAATAAATTTTTCCACAAAATATCCCAGCAGTACACCTACCCATAACCTCATAAACTGCTCCATATGTTATGTTACGCTAGAATTTAAAAAAAAGTCCATTTAGAATATAAACAACTGAGGAAACAATGGTTTTTTTAGGTAGTAATACTGTATTGCACGTATGCCAGACTATAATTTTAAAAAAGAAATGTTAAATGAGTTAAATACATGTCTTTCATTTTAACGTTACCTTGTTGTAACGATAACCTTGTTTGCCCCTAAAATATGCAGCCAAACCTAAAGCTGTGCCCGATGGAAGAGACAAGACAGTATGAGTGGAGATCGTGGCACCAAGTGATACGTATTATATATGTATTGTACAAGTTATACGTATTGTATATGAAACAAAGGAGCACGGACAATATATCGCAACACTCGTCACGATAAAAATTGCTATGATTTACTATAAAATAGGTTCAATAGGCTCAAGCCGTCATGGAATAAGTTTGAGAATTTGAATCAAGTTAACTAAAAGTTTTTTAATTCACTGCTGTCTGGCTGCTTGAACATGTATTTATATATGCAAGAACTTCCTCATTTGCGAGTCAGCGAATCTAGAACAGATGATTTATAGAGATGACAGAGTTGAGTAAAAAAGCGGAGTTTTTTGTTTCGTAGCTTGATTGAAGATGCTTATATATATATATTTTTCTACTCTTCGGTGCTGTCATGATTTTCATTTATATGTTTTAACAAAATTTTCGTCTTCTTCCCAATCCTAAGTCTTATTGTCTGTTACAAATAAAATTGCGTCGTGTTTATATGAACATATAATATACTCTACCAATTTTGCAATTATTTGTCTGGTCTTTTAAAAGCCGATCTTGTTCCAAGAGACATATTTCGATTGTATTACACTATGCACTTTTGCGTGCCTACTTCTATGTAATGTACTAATAATATATTGTTACGGACATCCCAAATCTAGTTGATTCCAGCTAAGGCATTTTCTAAAATAATAAATTCCTTAAAGAAAAAAGAAGGAAGCGATTAGCGGAAAAGCAGACAGGTAACAACAAAGTGCATATCCGCAGGCGCGTCATGCAGCTGCAGGCCGATGAAACGGTTACCAACAAAAGCAGGTTAACGAATAAGAATTATGTCATAAAATTAGGTACTAGTAATGTCATGGCAAAAATGTATATAAATAGAATATTTGTGAAAGACAGTAGAGTAGAAAAAGAATATTTGAGTTAAGCAGTCGAAAGTATTGCCAAAAATAATTAGTAAATAATCCCACATTTAAAGAAATATAATTGTAAATAAAAGAGCTTTTAAGTGTATTTCTCCTGAATAAAATATCCGGACTGTATTTTATAAAAACGAATTTCATAACAACTGGTGTCAGAAGTGAGATCGTGGAAATCAAGAGAAATGGTGGAATTAGAAGAACTCAAAGTGGATCGGCTCAAACAGAAGCTGGGAAAAAGAAGTTTTCGTATCAAAGCTGAATTAAAACAAAAACTGGTCGAACAGCTAGAAAAAGACGGACAGGACCCGTCGATGCTTGAATTCGATTAGAATATCGAGGGGAGGAAGCAAGCCGACAACTTGGGAGAACAGAAAATGCAGCTACAGCAGTAAAAAAACACAGCGAAGAAAATGCAACAGCAAATACAACAACAAACGGAACAGATAGAATCAAAAATTGACCATCTCTATCAAAGTAAAAACACTCCTATTTGACGGCACCACTAACTTCAACGCATTCAAGCTACATTTTGGTGTTCTTGCAACAAAAAATATGTGGGGTGATGACGAGAAAGCAGTCGCCTTAATAACTTCCGTAAGAGGAGCAGCAGCGGAAGGAGGTAAGCCATCTAGAGTTGTCTTCGTGCACCCAGAAGCTGAACTAAAGGATCCAAAATTACGCTACCGAAATCGGCCAATCTCGCTTATAGCGGTGTGCCCAACGACATGCTAGAACGATTGAAAATCAACGCCTTTGTCAGAGGATTCCATGACGACAGAGATGTCACCTAAAACAACGTTAACGGAAACGTTGGGCTTCGCACTTACACAAGAAGCGGCTAGTGTGCTATGGTCATCAAGCATGAAGGTAAGACGCGCGGAAATTTCCAGCGAGTGCGATAATTTGGATGTGGTCTGCGCGGCGCTTCGACAAGTCCTGCGCGAAAATAAGCAAATGGCGGCTTCAAAAACACGCAAGTGTTATGTCTGCCAAAACCTGGTCATTTTGCACGGTAGTGCTGATCAAAGCACAAAAGAACACACTCCACATCACCTGCGCGGAATATTAGTGAAGGTGCCAGAGAAATATCCAACGAATAGGCGTTATACTGAAAAGAGTCAGCACAGCGGGGCACCGGCTAACTCACAAATTTAGTAGCCCTAGGGTCGCTATTCCTCAATCAAAGATAAGTAACAGCAGCCTAACAATCGATGGGAAGATTCAGGGCTTTAACTACATCATCAGGTTGGACACTGGCGCCTCCCATTCAATTATCAACAGTGCAATAGTCAAAGAAAAATTCGACCCGATAATTGGAGCACGGGTCCGAACGGCAACAGGTGAGGAAGCAGCTATTAAAGGTAAAATTATTAGAAACATTTCGATTAGTGATGTTTCGATGAAGCATGAATTCCTGGTCGCAGACATAATGGACGAGGTAATATTGGAGATAGATTTTATGGCAAAACACGGCTTCGTACTGGATATGAAACGGCAAGTGTTACAATACGCTAATGTGACTTTGCCATTGACTGTAGGATACGACGGACAACCCGAAGTGTTACAGGTTGCAGTACAGCGAGAACAGGTGATCTCTCAAAATTCTGAAGCAATAATATGGGCCACAGCTATCCAAGAGCTAAGGCTAAGAAGGATATGGGTTATCGAACCGAATAAAGAATGTACGAAAGACAGCATCATCATTGGAAAAGCGGTTGTGTCACCGGTCAAAAATCTAATACCGGTATGAGTATTAAATCCGACCAACGTTACAACAAAAGTTCACAAATGGGACATTATAGCGCAATGCGAAAAAGCCGAATGTGAATGTTAGATCATGCTGCTCTGCGATGGTTACTCAATTTCAAAGAACCAGAAGGACAGCTGGTCAGGTAGATTGGAAAACTGCAATCCTAGAGAATAAAGGAGGTGTCGTCATCTGCCGAACTATCGTGGAGCCCAACGGAGTCTTTTCGAAGGAAGACATGACCAGTGCTCAAAAGGCCGACAAAGATTTAAACGCAATATTAAAGGCCTTAGAAAAGCAGGAGCGCCCTACCTGGGAAGGATTTCAAGAGAAAGTCCGATTACGAAGGCGTATTGGGCTCAGTGGCAAAGCCATCATCGTTGAAGATGGATGCTTATGGCGCATATGGCGTAGTGAGGATGCTTCATGGGCTAAGAAATTACTGGTGGTCTCACGAGTGAGAACTCAGGATATTATAAGGGAATACCACAACGGAGCAAGCGGAGGGCATCTTGGCATCACAAAAACCGTGGACAAGATCAAGGAAAATTTCTATTAGGTAGGCATCAAGGATTCTGTAGCTGCATGGATTCGCAACTGTGACCAGTGCAGCAAATCGAAAGGCCCGAAAAATAAGCCCCGAGGGCGCTTGCAACAGTATAACGTGGGTGCACCTTTCGAAAGAATCGCAATGGATATAGCTGGACCATTTCCAGCCAGCAATGCGAGAAATAAATACGTAGTGGTAGTCAATGATTACTTCAGTAAATGGTCACAAGTATACTCCATAGCCAACCAAGAAGCAAAGACAATAGCCAAAGTATTCGTCAATAATTGGGTTACGTGGTTTGGAACCCCCATCGAGCTGCATTCAGACCAGGGTAGAAACTTTGAATCTTCAATCTTTCAAGAGGTTCGCCAAATGTTTAGCATTAATGAAACTAGAACGACTCCGCTGCATCTTCAGTCTGACGGAATGTTCGAAAGGTTTAATCGAACGCTCCAAGAACATCTGCGAAAAGTGATCGACAACAATCAGCAGGACTGGAATGAACAAATACCAATCTTTTTAATGGCATACAGATCAGCAGTGCACAACACCACTGCTGTACCCTCGGTGCAGATTTTGCTCGGTTCCAATCTGAGGCTACCCGCAGACTTGAAATTCGGGAAAACCCCTAATGTTCAAAGGATTGAGACCGAATATATTGCCAGATTGAGGGTGATATTGGATAGCATGCACCGACAGATTCGAAATAGTACGCAAATCGTAACTGACGGGGTGAATGCAAAATACGATCTGAGGGCTAACGCCGATGAATTTAAGGAAGGGGATTCGCTGTTACTGTGCAATCCTTCACGTAACAAAGGTATGGCACCAAAACTGCGATGTAACTGGGAAGGTCCGTACATATTTATCACAAGGATAATGATGTGGTCTGTCGAATATGGAAACATCCCGGAGGCAGAACTAAATTCAAAGTGGTACACCTGGACCGGTTGACCGCTTATCGAAACGACCTTGTTCGGGACGAATAAGATTACGTGGAGGGTAGTGTTACGGAAATCCCAAATCCAGTTCATTCCAGCTAAGGCGTTTTCTAAAATAATAAATTCCTTAAAGAGAAAAGAATTCAAACGTACATTTGCGAGGCGTCATGCGGCTGCAGGCCGATGAAAACGGTTACCAACAAAAGCAGGTTAACGAATTAAGAATCAAGTCGTAAAATTAGGTACTAATAATATGATGGCAAAAATGTACATAAATAGAATATTTGTGAAAGACAGTAGAGTAGAAAATAATATTTGAGTTAAGCAGTCGAAAGTATTGCCAAAAATAATTCGTAAATAATCCCGCATTTAAAGAAATATAATTGTAAGTAAAAGAACTTTGAAGTGTATTTGTCTTAAATAAAATATCCGCGATCCAGTGATACGGACTTTATCTTATAAAAGCGAATTTCATAACAATATATTAACAAAAACTAAATAGTAAGCTTAGCAACAATAATAAATAAAATGAAAGCATATATATCCTGAAAAGAAACAAAAAGTAACAGATGATAAAGTATTTAGAGTAATCCTTAAACAAGGAATTGCTATTGAATTGCATTTAAATAAACTCCGAAACTTTTTTAAAAATCTGAGTCACGAACCACGATTAACATTAGCAAGCGAAGGCTTAGCTATTAACTATGAAAGAGATTTACAGAGATTTCTTTTAAATATACAAATAAAAGTGATATGCAAAAAAGTCAACAACAAAGAACATGCAAAAGGCTTGTGTGCTAGGGCTTGTAAGCCGTTACCTAAAAACCATAAAAAAATTTTTGTAAAATTGGGATTTTAAACCAATTATTTTATAGTGGTCTTATCTTTTCTGACTTTATGAGACGTTCAAATAGAGATAGCATGTGAAGGACTTTTTCACAACGCGGCGAATGTTATTATCAATATTAAAAGAGTTTATGAGCTAGAATTGAATGAAGAATTACCTTTAAGAACAAAGGATTTATAAAAGTACGCCAGAGGTATTAACATTAGCAAAATACAAAATTATTTATTTATATATTTATTCAATATAAATTTTTTTTGTATATCGACTTTATTTTTGTATTTTATTTTTGAAGAGAAGATATCAAAATATATCATATAAGTAGCAAATTTCTGTATATTTTGTTTTGTTATTTAAAATGTTTGCCTTTTTGCAAGTAAAGTTTCCTTTGTTGTATGTTTCTTATTTGTGAAAATAAGAATGGCTTTCCGAGCGTAAAATTAGTTTTGCTTTGTATTCTTATGGAGAATTTTCTGAGGGTACAATTCACTTTGCAGTGCGTTTCTATGAAAGTATTTTTGTGTTTCTGAGAGTAAGAAGGTGAGTAATTGTGTAAATATATTTTAAAGCATTGGACTGAAGCTATATCTTTTATCTAAATTTGTTTTTTTTATTTTTTTTTTTTATATATTTAATTATTAAACTAAAGCGATGACAACAGACAGAAGAAACAATTTGCTTTAAGCATTAAACAAAATCCAACAAAAATTATAATTCATGGAAAAAGTGTAGAAAGTGCTTTGCGTAAAACCAAATACAGCAATTTCTCTTTTAATTGAAATTAATATTTGATCAATTGCTTGAAAAAATATTTAATAATTGTTTTCACATTACAAATACAGCAAGAACAATTCAAGTGCAATAAAACCGAAAGGTAGACAATCTCGGTTGAAATATCACCGAATAAAAAAACAAAAATTTTATTTAGCAATGATGCAAACTCAAACTGTTAACTGACGTAAATGTTGGAAAACGCTGCTTTCTCATTACAAATACGTTGCAGCTGTCATAATATATTTCAATTTAATATTTTTACAATTTTTCCTGTAATTTTTATTCACATTTTGTCTGAATTTTTCGCAGCAATTAATTTGTTAAGAATTTCATAGTATGATTAGGGCTTTTTATATCAATTTAACGACTGAGACCAATACATAACGAATGAAGGCTATTATGACGATTATTTATTTATTTATGATCGTCAGTATATTTCGATTATTTATTTAATTTCGTAATCAGTGTAATTTAATTCTTGTAGGGGGGAAATGTGTTTATTTTAGGTAAAACTGATAAACTATTTTTTTTTTTGTGAATGTTATTTCCGTAATAATAGCTAAAAGTTTTGGGAAAATACTTACATCAATGGTTAGAGATTTTTAAACGAGCAACAGAAAGATTAATGTTAAACAAGAAAACTTCGCAATCAATGCTTTATATACTATACAAACAAACGACATGTCTGAATCAATAACACATTTAGCACAAGGTCACATTACGTTTGTGCGGGTGCATGGAACTCTTAGAAAGACTTGATCTTTTATTACATCGATCGATTCAGAATTACTTTCCAAATCGAACTACGCTTGTCTTACCGCTTCCCCCTCTTGTTTTCTTGGTTTCAAGCTACAGTTTATAATTTTTATGATAATATGATGAAATTTTGTACATCGACATATTTTGACCTTAACACGAACGCTATTGAAAACGATTTGGGTCGGATGACTGTGAGCCGTGGCCCACTATAGAGAGTTTACTTGTTTTTGATTGTACATAAAGCATCAAAACGACCGGATATCCATCTAGCAAGCATGGCTTTTGAAACTTTTTTAATTAGATTTCAAACTCAATTCGGTGTTCACAGGAGTGTTAATAAAGCAAGGACGCAGTTGGGTCTCGTGAAAGAATTTGATAATTTATACGTTTGCAAACACCTTTACAATAGTCTGGTTCACCTTATTCTCTCTCTCTGTCTCTCTTTCGGATATGGCTGTCCCGTATGTTCCGTCCACTTATTACAAGTCTATATATATATCAAATCTATAGAATCTGTACAAGATCAATTCTTACGGTATCTCTTGCCTCTCTCCCAACTTTCGCAAATTGCTTAAAACGCATCGAACCCATAATATAACATACATAACCTTTTAATAGGTTTGATAAATTTATCAACTTTATTAAAAGAAATCAATATTCTTATCCTTTCTTCTTTCTCTAGAACTCTCAATCAATCGATCAACTATAGGCGCCGGACTATGTATATATGCATGTATGGCGTCTTTAACTTTAATGCAATATAGAAGTTGTACCCCATATACCTGGTCTACAACATGCACAACAAAGAAGGCATGCACAACATGCTTCGCAAGGACGTGGAGGGCATTTTGCTTATTTAGCTAGAAACAGAGTAAATCAACAAAATTTAGATTCAATCAGATCTTATCAACTCTGCTTGATAATCAAAGTATTAGAAAATCAAAGTAAACAATTGATTTACTTATATTACCCTTTTACGAAACGAGATTTATAAGTTATTTTTTTGCTTCTTCGCTGTTTCAAGCATATACAAGACCATTTACATTGATACTAGTAAAATGCCCAAGGCTAAATTGCAATTTCATTGTTTTAAAATGCCTAGTTCCGATAATAACAATAAATTAGATGGCTGTGAATTGGTTAAGTCATTAATATTACGTTATAAAAGAGAAAAAAGAAAATATTTTCTTTCGTGTCCATGAAAATTCATTGGCATCAATGGGGTCAAATATTAAATGTTACCTTTGCAACATTTGCACTCTTTTTCATAACTTTCTGCTAAAAGTCCAGAGTTACCCGCCAAAATGCTTGCATTTCCAGGGATCTTTGTCAATAATAAGAATTGCTTATTGTAAATTCCCTGTTGTAAGCATAATTTCATTTATATTAAAAAAGGATATTTATTATATTCTCTCGACAGTTGCGATTTTAAAAATTAATAATAATATAAATAACAACAGCAATAGTAACAATATTAACCGTTGTTTATCAATTATGATAAATTAACAATTCTAAAAAATGCAACAACAAAATGTATGCGGTACTATTTTTACAGCAGCAAAACACACTCTATCTGATATTAATCAGATAAATAGCTTTTATTTTTATCAATTGCAGCGATTTTTTTCGGCTTCCATGGTATTCCCCAATTTCTTAATCTCAAAAGATTCGCCCGTTGTAATAAATTGGAAAATTAAAGTTGATCTACCAATTTAGTTGCACCCTGAATTATTGTCAATTTATACGCAACAATTTAGTCGCAAGCCAAATTATTCTCGATTTATTTATTTATTTATGCTCACTATGTAAACAATTCATTTGATTGCGCAATACTATAATAATAATCAGCTGTAATTTGGAAAACATTTTCGGATTAAAATTATAAAATTGCATTTGGGTTGAAAGATGGGAAGCCCTCAAAACGCACATAGTACTAACTTTATAACGCAGCCACACGCGGTGCAAGCTTGACAAAAATGTTGGCTTTTTTAAAAACAACCACTTTTGTTATAATCTCTCCCATTCCAAACAGTCCTCTTATTCATTAAAAAAGCATATGAAATAGGTTCGCATTCAACGAAAAACTTAGAGACGCTGCAAGTATTGGCGGATTTTTATCGTAAATTAATTTTAAAAAAAATGAAATTAATAGCTATAGATAACACTGAACTAAGTGAATACTCCATTAGTTTGCTAAATAGATGTTACATACATACTGTAAATAATTTCCTGAATGAAAAAACCGAGAAGTTAAAAAATATTCTAAATCTTAAAGAAGAGCAAGTAGACGACCTCAAAAAACTTCTGCGTCAACGGTTTGGCCCCACGAAAATAAAACTAGCTCAGTTATATTCGCGTTGGGAATCAAATGGATGTTTGTATAAAACTGGTATAAGCAATTTGGATAGTATGTTGGGTGGCGAGTCCTTACAAAGCGGTAGCGTTTGGGAAATGTGTGGACCATCGGGTGTTGGGAAAACGCAATGGGCCCTTTCGGTAGCTATAAATTTCGTCATAAGTAAAGGCTTGCAAGTTTTGTATATCGATACAAAATTGGATCTTTCCGCAATTCGCATAAAGCAAATGCTACAATCGCGTTATATGATCAATGCGGAGATGCACGCTGGTATCATGCAACTTATCAAGGTGGAACGTTGTCTTTCCGCGCAGGGAGTGATAAATATGCTTGAGAATTTTGAAAGAGAAATAGAATACAAAAATCCAAGGGTAATGAAGACTAATTTAATTATTATTGATTCACTGCCAGCTGTGTGGTTACTTTTAAAAGCTAATGAAGATTGCCTATCGGGCAAATGGTTGCTATCGCGTCTTAATAATTTAATATACAAATTGGCTCAGAAATATTATGTGGCTATCATCATAATTAATCTTTCGGTGCCCATAATAGCTGATGGACAATTAAATAAAAACTTTAATCGTACCCAACATGGAGAAGAGAATGATGACCTCTACGGTGAAAATGCTTATTCCCAGGAAATAATTTTAGCACAATACGGTAAATTAAGACCAATGTTAGGTCGCTATTGGCAATCAATACCTCGTCTACGTTTATCATTGGATTACGGATCAAAAATGCCAGACGAAGATGTCACCCTTCGTTATATAAGAATTTTAAATAGTTGCTATACTACTATTAATTTAAAATGTCCAGTCCACTTAACTGCTAAAGGCATAATTTAACGTAAGCATAAGCTAGTTTTGTTTGTTCTTCTTAACCTTTGTTTAATTATAATATGGAATTTTGTTGTTGCTTTCTGTACTATTTGTACTATCACTCTATCCTGGGCCGTTTGCATGTTTTAGATTTTCCACCGGATGCGTTTGACTCTTCAGTCATAATAATGGAACAGGCGGATTTGCTTATGGCATTAGCGGCAATTTTAGGTGACGAAGATGCACCTTTCTAAAATTTCAACAGTTATTTTAGTATACTTCAAATTGGTTTTATAAATATATTTTCACTTGCCATTTTTTCACTCTCATCTACTATTAAATCGGATTCGTGGGCATATTTGCATTTGCTGCCAAATCTACAGCGTCCTCTGCGATTATTCCAACATATTTTACGGCCATTTTTTTGTGTAATATGATCTTTGGATTCAACCATTTTAACATGTTTCTGCAATTTATCAATTCCAGCTCTTTCTGCTTCTAAAAATTTGTTTGTGAACACTTCTCCCTGCGTCCGACATGATGACGATTTTAATAAATCGCTGGCACTCGGTAAAAGTTTTGTTTTTGCAGTTGTTCTATAGGTATAGTCTTTTTTACCTAATTGCTTGCAAAGTGTTTTTATTTTCTACTTACGTGAGTTCTTTGTTATTTGATTTATAATTTATTTCCTGATCGGAATCATCTCCGTTACTGCTAGATGTTTGATAATCAGCCACCAAGGATAACATATTTGATTTGTTTTGTTTATTTTTCTCTATGACTTTTACAGTCTGACAAGCATGCCTTACACTGCAAATTTGGTAACGCCCCACACAAATATTTGCAGTAAACAATCGGCTTAATGGCTTTCAGGAGATGAACTAAAATCACCGGAGAGTAAATTTCATAAAGTAGACAAAATAACGCGAAAAGCTGAAAGTACAAAATAATTGAGCGATGAAAATATTGTAACTTTAAAATGTCCAAATACTTAATATAAATTTATGAAACCGAGCACTAACTCACTGTTCGATTTGAAGATTGATAACAATAATTTGTATTCATCCTCTAATAATCGGGCATTCCTAGAGCATCACCTAAATAAAAACAAACCAAACACTGGTTCAAATAACAACAAAAATTCCAAAACTTTAGCAAATACTGAACAACAGATTGAACATGTAAAATAGAAATAAATTAAAAAAGCACTAATTTTCGTTCAAAAAATTTTTACACACGCACTTTCATTAAGTTTTTACTATTATTTCTTATAAAAGTTTCCAGATGTGTTTACATGAAATAGGTCTTTATAGGTCTATGCAAGAATTTTATGACAAGAAAAGGAACACGCACACATAAAAAGTTAAAAGACAACAATTTAGTTGCACCACGGTTTTTATCAACTTATACGCAACAATTTAGTTGCACCACGGTTACTATTTTATGTTCTTAGCCTAACTTCATATGACACATAAAATGTGTCGCCATACAAATTTGGTTCTAGCTTTAACAGTTTTTCCTGAAGTTTGAACAGTTTTCCTTGATATTTTAACAGAAAATTATCCAATATCAATAGGTTTATTCTTCTTTTTCTTCACTTCATGATAAAAGATTTACGTGTTGATGTGGCGTTACCATATTTTGAAGGCATATCTGTTCCCAACATATGGTATTTTAGTATGCTGTTTTATTTCTATTTTTTATTTAAAAGCGAATGAATTAATATTATGAATTTGGTTCTGGTTTTAACAGTTTTACCTGAAGCTTGGACAGAAAATTCCCAAATACGAATAGTTTTGTTTTTGTTCTTGTTTTACGCGTCGATGTGGTTTTACCATATTTTGAAGGCATTTCTGTTCTCCATATGTGGTATTTTTCATATGTAAAGAAAAGAAAACCAGCTAACGGTTTTTAATTACAAATGAAATCTTGATGTATAGTGAAAAAGTGCAAATGGAATCTCTCCTTTAAAAAAAAGAAAAAAAATCCAAAATAATAAAAAGTACAAAAAAGACGAAATTTTTGTTACAAAAAAAAAAATAAATAAATATTGACATACATTTCAAGAAAGAGTTGGAGAAAGTAAATTTAAGTACTTAAGTAAAGGAGCCACGTATGTAATCATCATTATGTTGGTTAAAACATTATTGGAATTTACGCATTGAATAATTGAATTGAACGTTTATTGTGCATATACATGGCCAAAGTGTCTTTTATTTGAAAATTGGAACTAGAATTGGTTTTTTTTATTGTTTCTAAATCTATGATATTATCATAATACCAAAAAAAAAAAAAAAAACAAATACAAAAAATAGAATTATTAGAAAACAAGAAATAAAATTGAGGAATGAACTCATATATATTTTTCATCATAAATTTTATTATTATTGTTATTGTCTTCTTACATTACATTTTTTATTATTATTATTGTCTTATTATATTATATATTTTTTTATTATTATTGTTATACAAGTTCTAATATCCGCGTACATTTGCGTAGCGGGTTTCTGTCGGTCGGCATTGTTCCTGCTCTTCACAAATAGAGTAGAGTTTTTAATAATAATGGAATTCCGTTAGTTAAGAACTCCTTTTGTAATCCATCATTCACGCAGTAGCACCATTTAGGGCGAGTATTATGAAAAAGGCACAAAGTTCGAAGTACGTCTTTATAGCATTAGGATAGTTTTTTTGAGATTAAATGAGAGATAGAAAGTGTGCGACAGAGAGTTGAGGAGTGCAAATGGTTAAGGTTGGAACAAAAATAATGATTACGGATTGACGTTACAATTTTCTTGTGCGAAAGTTAAGTAATACACAAAAACACAAAGCAAAGCAAAGTGAAATTTAAACAGTAGAAAAAAAAAAATATAAAACATTTGTAATATCGTACATGTATATATATGAGTTTGCATCCAAAAGAGTTTAAAAGCAACATTCAATTATAAGGCTAAAGAATATAAAATGAATTTTAAATAAGATTTTAAACATAAGTGGCGTGAAATCAAAAAAGAGCCGTAACAATAAAACTAATAAAGGCTGTTAATAAAGACATGTATATAGTATGAATTGAGTGTAATTTATGTTTAGTCTCAAACTCATGTTTTAAAGCGACTTGTAAGTAAAAATGCATTTAAAAAAAAAAGAAAAATAAGTGAAAATATTTCAATACAAACAGGGATTTTTAAAGGGTTAAAAAAATTAACTATCCGTACAAACTGTAAATCAAACTTCATATTTTCAATTGTTCCATTACGCTACAATAGTAGAACGTTTTTAATATTTTTGGCTGTATGGCCGGTTTTTGTTGCAATTTATGGTTAGTGTGCATCATTACTTATCGATCTTACCGTTGACAGTGGCACATCTTCGACAATCTCCTTTTTACTAATATTTTGTTTGGGAAAAAATCTTGAATGCTGTCTGCAAAGGTAGATCATCATCGAGCTGAGAGTCCTAAAGAGCGCATTGATCATCGTGTTGATTTTTTCTTTTTGCGCAATGGTATTTAATGGGTTACGATACGCAATGTATTGATGGTGTGCCAGCATCTTTCACAATGGAGTCATCGACTAGCTGTACCGTAGATGGGATGGCTGGATTTGTATTAGGTTTTCTTATACATTGATATTTATGTAGCTTTTAGGTTAATATCTGCCTGTTTGTTTGCGTATATGATTAAGCAAATATAAGTACCGCGCAAACTGGTTTTATGTAACAAAAAAAAAGAACACAAAATATGAAGTTGAAACACAAATTATGTATTAAAATTTTCTTTATTGATCTATTACAAAAAAAAGGAAAAAAATGACAAACTAGGCATTGTGCAGGTTCCATGAAGATGGGACATATGTGTGTGTGCGTATGAGCATAGGAAAGTCACCATCGACTAACAGAAAACGGGACTCGCAGAGAGGTTTAGTTATTCGTGACTTAAAATTTTCCATATGGAAAGAAAAGGGGAAAGAAGGGAAAGCCAAAAAAAAAGTATAGAATGTCAGTGTGGCTGAGCTAATCAGGAAGCGAAAAAATTTAACCCAGCTCGTTCATATCGAAGAATTTATTTTCGGAAACTTTAAAATAATGCTGCGCCGTATGGAGCAACACGGCAGCAATGATTTGGAGAATAAATTAATATGGAAGCAGCTGCCAGTAGAGTTGAGTACAAAAATGAATCATCCAGTTGCAGTGGAGACGATTAAGCAAAGGTTCGAAATATTAAAAGCCTTTTGCGAAGTTATAATGAGCCAATGATAACCGGGTGCACATCTTTGTGGTTGTACCGGTGGTTGGCCGAAGAAATGGGTTTAATGCGTGCGGCGCGAAAAATCGAAAAGCAGATGATCGACGATGGGAACGGGGATATTTCAGATATTTCATGTATTTCAGGTGACTGATTTGCCTGTTTTTTTAGGATTTGGCGTAGAAGAAATAGATGAAATAAGTAGAATATGGTTACGAAATTCGCTTTCCTCGGATACGGTTCGTATCACTAGATCGTGGTTATTATCTTTAAGAGAAATACACTTGCGCGTTTTTACTTCAAGACTTTTATTTACAATCAATTTCTTTAAGGATAGGATTTTCATTTTACTTTGGCGACGCTCTCTGCTTCTCAACTCTAATATTCTTTTTCTCCTCAAATGCTCTTCTCCGACTCTTCTTGGCTTCCGCAAATAATCTATTTATATATATTTTTAGAAGCATATTACTATTACCTATGTTCATTGTTAATGCGTTAACCTGCTTTTCCGCTAATCGTTTGCTCAGTCGGCAGTTGCTCGATGCCCCGCGAATATGCACTTGGCTTCTCCCCCTCTAGGCAATTTATTTTTTTGGGAAAGTCAATTAGTTGGAATGAACTGGATGTGGGATTTCCGTAACAATATAATTAGGTAGAGTAGAATTAGAAGAAATGCAGACGTATTAGTAGGAATGAAATTGGAAAAAGCAGACCATGCAGGAGAATTAGCCCTGTGTAAGTAGTTAGCCCCACGTTAGGTAGCTCAGACGTATTAGACAACTCAACTTCAAATTCGGATTTATCGGAGAGTGCAGCATTGTAGCATCTAATTGACCACCTTAGAAGAGAAAATAAGGCGTTAAGAGAGGACAACGCGCGCTTAAAAAACCTGCAAACAACAACAAGCAGCTCAACAACTTTAAATTTCAACTTAAACTTATCTGGTCGCGGGTCTGTATAAAATAATTTAATAAGTGGAATAAATTTTAATTATTATTGTTATATTATTATATGATTATAATGTTGTTGTAAAAAAAAATTTGTACGGGGTTTTAATTATTATTGTTATTATATACATATAAATATAGTGAGCAGCTAATTTCGTCCCTCCTTTTGACCTCGCATGTCCGCCGTGTCGGAAGGGAGTGTGTTAGATTTAGGAGAGAATTAAGCTTCAATTGTAATAATAAGTCGGCATGACAGACAGCTGTCTTCTGATTGGGATATGGTAAGGTTGTCAAAAAGAATTTCGGCGGAAGTCGGAAACAAGTGACTTTCATTGTCATCTGAGCCGAGGTACTGACCATTTCCGTTTGTGATTTTTATTTCTTCTGAGTGGGGTAGCCAATTAGCGCTCGTGGATTTGAGAAATACTATTTGAGAAAGGTGTTGATTTAATTTTAATTACATTGTTGAACATTTCACTAAAGTCAATTTAGCGCAGAAGAATGTAAAGAGAAAGTTTCCATACAACGAGCGAAGCGATCCCCGATAAATAAATTTCCTGTGAGAAGGATGCCTGAAGCCCGGTGAGAGCGGCGGAAACTTTCTTCACAATATATTATTATCAATATTATTACAATTTTAAAGTAAATTTATCAATGGCCTAGGCCTACAGGGGATGTCAAATATT